TCCTTATCAATAGAACCAGGTGTCTTTGTTCTGCTTAGTAGGCATTTACAACAGGCAATACTTTTGTTTAAGCAAGTGAATTCCTCTAACCCCCTTGTATAACCCCCCTGTACATTGGTCAACCCTCTGCATCACATCCATGCTGGTCCTTAGGTAGCAGGGAAAAGTATTTTGCCCCATCCTTTCACTCAGCACAAAAAATTATACAGAATATACAACCTGTGTTTCCTATCCAATTAGGATGATATAGTGTAACATATCTCTAATAAAATGCCGCGTGTGGTAATAACCAGATTACAGATGTTAGGCAGAAAACGGAACTGGTAACATGCAAGAAAAACACAATTAACAAAAATGAGTTGAAATATGACAACTGTGTTCAGTGGGAGTCTGAAAAGATCTTTGAATAAACCTGATTCCTAGTAATACGACAGAACACAAGTGTTCTCTTTTGTTAATTTGCCTTTTTGATGTTATAAGTAGATTATCTACACTGCAAAACCAAGATGTGGAGATGTTACCAAGTCTCTATGGACTATCTTATATGGAAGTTTGTTTACAGCTAGTTATTGTAACTTCTTTCTTTTCTTTTTCTTTTTTTTTTCAATTACAGCCTAAAGCTGTGATAATGGCACAAGCAATACTAAATCAGATAAGAGACAAAGCTGTGGAATTCAAGGACTTCCCTGCTCTCCTCAGCAATAAACAACCAGATGTAATCATGGAGTGAAAGAAAGGCAGCTGTTAGGTACAATGTCTGACTTTTTCTCATAGTGTTTCTTTGGAGATTAATTGGTGCTGTTAATTGCGTTAAAGGATGCAAGATTTCTTCTGTGATGATTAAAAAGCTAGACTCTGGAAGGCTTCAGACTTGTTGGCACATCATAGATCACCTAATTATGAGTTGACTTTCCATAATCACATATTGTATTTCAGCTAAAATAATTGTGCAGCTTGCTAAACTGCCTGCCCTATTTTATTTTTTTCCAACAACAAAAGTGTCTCTTACAAGATACAACCTAACAAAAAGGCTTGAGTTAAAAGGTGGTACAAATTAATTACGTATTGATACTAAAACTAGAAAACTCTGACATCCTATATGCACCCATCCAGTTGTTAGAGAGGGTGAAGTTTTTACAATAAAATAATCATATAAAATAGTAAAATGATTATATTTTAGAAATTTATAAATCAATAGTGAGACTTTGTATATTAGAAGACGTTGTAACTTTGTCGTTTTGTATCATAGTTACTCTGTAACTACATGATACAATGGTAGTCTTGGTAGCAAGAGCTAACATAACTGCATATGGTGAGGGGAGTATAGGTGTATGTATTGTAAAACTCTACCCAAGCAGAACCTAAGTTTAAGATAGCCAAAAAGGGCATACCAGAAGCATCCTGGTGAAGATAAGAGAATGCTAACGTCCACACAGACGACTGGGATATGGCCAAGTAGAGGAAAGGTGAAAAGGACAACCTGAGGAAGACTTCTTACTTCATCTGAGGAAGACTCCTTACTTCATCAGGGCGACCACCAGAGGGGGCGGCGCAAGCGCAGAAGAGGCTGATGTCGTAATAGATTGATGTAGCAATCTTTGATGCATATGTATTAGTCAATGATGTAATCTGTGTTGAATATGTATTAGTTACGAAATTTTTAGTGTATAAATTGCGAACGCGATGTGACGGGAATCGGAACCAGATTTGGGTGCGTACCCCTGGTTCCCGGCGCCTCAATAAAGCACCTCATATAACCATCCCGGTGGTTATGTGTTTGTCTCGACGCTAACATTTTGGCGACCCAGATGGGACCTCACGGGCATTGCTGAGGCGGATCGCGTTTCGATCCTGCTCCAGCCGGCACCGAGAGATTCTCGGGGAGCTATCGACCGCGACCGACCTCCGCTGCTCACGACGGACCTCTGATACGGTAAGAAAGGTGCTTTTGATCTGGGTTACGGTACCGATTTTTAGTAAATGTATGGTATTGACCTTTGGTAAAGGTCTGGTAAAAAGCCTGCCTGTTACACGCAGCAAAAAGCTGTGTGTGTGGCTGGGCTAGTAGTAAAGCCTGCCTGTTAGACGTGGCGAAAGCTGCGCTTGGTTGGGGCTAGAGAGCTCTCGGGGTAAAAGCCTAGGCGCCGTCCGTTAGACAGTAGCAAAAGCTCTGCAGGTTCGGCAAACGTGGTTCGGTATTGGTATTTATGCTGCAGGAACAGCATCGGTGTAGATAAGTGTTGTAACTTAGTGTTGTACAGGAAACCAGTTTTCCTTAGGATTTGTGGTACAAAAGGAAACTCCTTTGTACTCACAAGATGCCGCCGATTCCCAAGTCCTCTCCACTAGGCTGTTTGCTAAGCCATTGGAAGGAAGGGGGATTTGGGCAAAGTATGCGGAGAAGTAAATTGATTGATTATTGTAACGTTTGGTGGACACAGTATCAACTAGGGGATCAGGAAAAGTGTCCTGAAAATGGGACTCTGGAATATAATACTATTTTGCAACTAATGTTGTTTTGTAGAAGGGAAGAAAAATGGGATGAAGTGCCATATGTAGACCTTTTCTTTACTTTAAGGAACAATAAGGAATGGCAGAAGTCTTGTGGGATTTTAGTTGTTAAAGCAAGTGCAAATGAACAGTGTAAAGGATGTGTTACTGAGAAGAAGTGTGTTGGATGTTTTGCTGTAGAAAACAGTTTGCAGCACCAGAAAGATGATGAAAATCTTGATTTGGCAGTGGCTCCGCTTGCGCCGCTAGTAGCAAAGGAAGAAAGGGGGGAGGAGAATGATAGTGATAACAATCTTGAGAATGAGAGTGATTGTGACTGCAGAGAGACAGAGATTTCTGCTACTCCAGTTTCACACCGAACTTGTCAGAGGGGAGAATGGAAAAAGAAAGTGCAGGCTCAGGCGTCTCAGGCACCTAGTGCAGTGCTTGCACCTTTAAGACAGGGAGTTGGAACAGAAGGACCTGTGTATGTTAAAGTGCCCTTTTCTCCTGGGGATTTGGTTATCTGGAAACAATCAGCAGGGACATATAGGGAGAATCCTGATAGGGTAGCCCGTGTAATGAAAATGATCATTAAAACCCAGAATCCAGACTGGGATGACATCCAGGTGCTTTTAGACACCCTCATGGATTCAACAGAAAAGGAAATGGTGTTGCGGGCTGCAAGAGAAAGGGTCCGGGAGGATATACGACAGGGACTGGTTGAAGGAAATGTAGATCAAAATTTCCCTACAGAAGATCCAATGTGGGATTACAACACAGCAAGGGGAATAAGGAATTTGCGAAGGTATCAAGATTGGGTGATTGTTGGAGTGCAGAATGCTATGCCTAAAACAATAAATTGGTCAAAGCTATATAACGTAAGGCAGGAAAAGACAGAATCACTGTCTGCTTTCTTGGAAAGACTTCAAGAGACAGCAAAGAAATATACGGATCTGGATGTGGAAACTGAACAGGCTAAGGCACAATTGGCTTTGATCTTTTTGGGGCAGTCTCAGGATGACATTAGGAAGAAATTGCAGAAGCTGGAGGGAGCAGACTTGCGAAACTTGGACAGGTTGCTAGAAGTGGCTTGGAAGGTGTATAACAATAGAGAAAAAGAGAGTTCCCGGAGGCAACAGCAAAATCTATTGGCAGTGGTCCAGGGGAGAGAACAGGGCTTCCCTAACTCTAGGGGTAGAGGGAGAGGAAATGTGCGGGGACGAGGACGAGGAAGAGGATTCTGTAATCCGAACGCAGGGGTAAATGTGGAAAGAATAGGATATAATCAGTGTGCAAACTGCAAACAGGAGGGACACTGGAAAAATGAATGTCCATTAAGGGGAAGACAATTTATGTCTCCAAGGAACCCTTTTGTGGGATCGGAAGTGGCTCAGGCAATGGTGCTGGGGGAATATAATAATCAAAGCTGACTAACTGAAGCAAGAGTTAAGGAGCCCCTTGTGAAAATACAGTTGGGAGAAGAAGAAGTAAAATTTTTAGTGGACACAGGGGCTACCTATTCAGTCTTAAATGACTTACACGGAAGGTTAGGGAAAAAGACAACCACAATCGTAGGGGCCACAGGGAAGGAGGAAACACAGCCGTTCCTACAGCCCCTAGATTTGTGATTTGGGGAGAAAGAGTTGATGCATGAATTTCTGTATATGCCTGAATGTCCTGTTCCTCTTTTAGGAAGAGATTTGTTAGCTAAATTGGATGCAACAATTATTTTTGAAAATGGTGAATTAACAATGCAGATTCCGGAATCCAAAGCAGGACAAATTTTGGTTTTGAAAGATAAACCTATTGCTCGAATCCCGGAGGAGGTAGAACAAGCTGTAATACCAACAGTTTGGGAAACAGAAATTCCAGGAAAATCAAAAACTGCTCAGCCAGTAATAGTGGAATTAAAGGATGGAGCTAGGCCAGTAAGAGTTAAACAATATCCCCTAAAATTAGAAGCAAGATATGGAATTATAAAAACAATTGAGAAATTTTTAAAATACCAAATTTTAGAAGAATGTGAATCAGAATATAACACCCCAATTTTTCCAGTGAAGAAACCTAATGGTGAGTACAGGTTAGTCCAGGATCTGAGGGCCATAAATAAAATAACAAAAGATATCCACCCAGTGGTTGCAAACCCTTACACATTGTTAACATCTGTGAAGGAAAAGTATAAATGGTTTACAGTGATTGATTTAAAAGACGCCTTTTTCTGCATTCCTCTTGACAAAAGTAGCAGGAAACTGTTTGCATTTGAATGGGAAAACCCACAGAATGGACAAAAGACCCAATTAACATGGACCAGACTCCCGCAGGGATTTAAGAACAGTCCAACTCTCTTCGGAAACCAGCTGGCCAAAGAACTGGAAACATGGACCACTCAAGGAAAAATACAGGTACCGAGATCACAATATCTCCTATTGCAATATGTTGATGACATCTTTATTGCAACAGAACAGGAGTCATTGTGTATAAAGGTAACCATTGAAATCTTAAACTAACTAGGCCTGAACGGGTATAAGGTCTCAAAAGAAAAGGCGCAAATTGCATGCACAACTGTGTTGTACTTAGGATGTGAAATTTCACAAGGGCAGCGAAAGCTGGGAATAAATCGCATAGAGGCAATTTGTGCCATTCCAGAACCACGGAACCTACATGAGTTAAGAACATTTTTGGGTATGGCAGGGTGGTGCAGATTATGGATAATGGACTATGGACTCATTGCTAAACCCCTGTATGAGGCCCAAAAATCACCTGTTTTTGTTTGGAATAAACCACAGAAAGAGGCCTTTAAGAAACTGAAAGAGGCATTAATGAAATCTCCAGCTTTGGGACTCCCAGGTCTGACAAAGGACTTTCAGTTATTCGTCCATGAGAGACAGAGATTAGTGCTGGGGATGTTAACTCAGAAACTTGGAAGCTGGAAGAGACCAGTAGGATATTTCTCAAAACAGCTGGACCCGGTAAGTGCGGGATGGCCTGTATGTTTGAGAGCAGTAGCAGCGACTATTGTTCTAATACAGGAGGCCAGAAAACTGACTTTGGGAAAACACATGGAAGTGTTTGTGCCACATATGGTGACAACCGTCTTGGAACAAAAAGGGGGGTACTGGTTATCCCCTAGCAGGATGATGAAATATCAAGCAATTTTAACAGAACAAGATGATGTAAGCTTAAAGACTACTAACCTGTTAAATCCAGCAGCCTTTCTAGGAACGGACCTAGAAGAACGGATGCTTGAACACAACTGTATAGAGGTCATCGAGCATACATATGCAACTAGAACAGATTTAAAGGATGAACCTCTTGAACAACCTGAGTGGGAGCTTTTCACAGATGGTAGCAGCTTTGTGGAAAATGGAACACGGTATGCAGGATATGCTGTAACAACACAGCAAAAGATAATTGAAGCAAAAGCGCTACCTCCTGGAACATCAGCACAACGGGCTGAACTCATAGCTCTTATGAGAGCACTGGAACTGAGTAACAACAAAAAGGTAAATATCTGGACAGATTCAAAGTACGCGTTCGGTGTAGTACATATACATGGAGCATTATGGAAAGAACGAGGGCTTCTATCTTCTCAAGGGACTAATATAAAATATCAAAAAGAAATTTTGGAATTAATAATTGCTGTGCAAAAGCCTAAACAGGTGGCCATCATGCATTGCAAAGCACATCAAGGAGGAACTTCAAAGATATCCGAAGGAAATACATTGGCAGACCGGAGAGCTCAACAGGTGGCCCGGAAAGTATGGAATATAATGGCACTGATACCTCTCAAGGTAAGCCCACTCCATACCTATCTCTCACAAGATCCAAACTATTCAAAGGAAGATGAGAAATTGGCAGGACTTTTAAAGGCTCAAAAGAATTCTGAAGGATGGTATATAACAGTAACTGGACAAATAACAGTGCCACCAGCTATAATGCGAAAAATTCTACAGAACGAACATCAGAAATGTCATTGGGGTGCAGAAGCATTGGTGACTTATTTAAAGCGAGGAATAATTTCCACACAGATGTTAACCATGGCAAAATCAGTAGGGTCAAAATGTGAAATTTGTTTGAAAAATAACCCAGTAGTAAGGAAACAAGTTGAAATGGGAAGGATCAGAGTAGGGATGGAACCAGGAGATTATTGGCAAATTGATTTTGTGGAATTACCAAAGACACAAGGGTACAAATACTTATTAGTAGGGGTTGACACCTTTTCTGGATGGCCGGAGGCCCTTCCCTGTCGCACCAATCAGGCAAAAGAGACAGTAAAGTGGTTGCTCAGAGAAATTATTCCACGATTTGGTGTTCCTTTAGGAATATCATCAGACAGAGGCCCACACTTTATCGCAACAATAGTACAGGAGATAAGTAAACTGCTAGGAATATCATGGAATCTACATACTCCCTGGAGACCTCAATCTAGTGGGCAGGTAGAAAAGATGAATCAGACAATAAAAAGGCAAATCAGTAAAATATGCCAAGAGGCCAAAATAAAGTGGCCACAGGCACTGCCCATAGCCTTGTTGCAAATCAGAATAAAACCTAGAAGTGGAATGTCAGTAAGCCCCTATGAAATCCTCTATGGAAAACCATATGAGGCACCAGAACCTAATCCCAATACCCACATTAAAGGGAATCAGGATGTTTACGATTATGTGCTATCTCTAGGTAAAACCCTAACCAGACTGAGAAGCACCCTGGTGTGGAACAGCCCATTGTCTTTGGAAAATCCAGTGCATGACATTCAGCCAGGAGATCAAGTATACATCCGAAATTGGAATGAGGAACCATTAAAAGAAAGGTGGGACGGACCTCATCAAGTACTATTAGCAACGTTCACTGCAGTGCAGGTAGAAGGGGTGGATTCTTGGATACATTATACACGGGTAAAAAGAGTTCCAAAAGTCTGGGAAACACAGATACTAGGCCCTACGAAACTGACGCTGAAATGTAAATAAGATGTCTGGGTTTTGTTACAAAATTTTGATTGTCATTTGGTCATTAACACAATTGACGTTTAGTCCTATCCTAGGAATTTCTCAGAAAAGTGGTTTGACAAAACTTAAAACAAGATGCCATTCTGACCTGCAAGTTCACGGAAACCATTCTTATGGGACCAACACTTTTAAAGGTAAACGGTTCTATGGGACTGAATCTGCAGTTAGCTACAGCGAAATCAAAGTTACAGGAAAAAGAACTAAAAGATCAGTGAATCCCACACAGATAATCCAATTATATCGCCGAAATCCTGAAGAAAACCTAATGATAGGTCTGATTAAGGATTTCGCAAAAATGAAAAACACAAGTAGAATAACAGCATGTTTGCCGATACCCAAAGCAGCTGGAGAACCAATTGAATGGGGAGTAATACCGTTTTCACTTTCAGAAATTAACGGAACAATCATTTGTCAGGAAAAAGAGGTAACGAGAAATATAACAGTGATAGAATATCAGGAAGAAGGTGTCTTTGGGGATCCTGCAATTTTGATATTAAAATCAGTATGTGAAAGGTACCAAAATGCTCAGTTTACCTCTATAAGAGACGAGTGGGGAAAGTGTGTCTATAATAAAGGGAAGAAGATAAACAGGAAAAAGTATGGGAATGTGAAAAAGCAAATGGTTTAAAACAAAACTGGGACATGGCTTGGTCAATGAACATTTTGCAGAAATTTCAATATATTGGAAACACATTTTGGTGCCTTAGATGGACAGGAAAGCAAAATGTGACAGAAAACATAAACATCAATAATTTGCTGTCCATAAACAAAGTTAGTCTAGATGTTATCAAAAATGCTCCTTGGTGGAATTGTACCAAAATTTTAGATTGCGACTCTGACCCCGAAGAAATCACAATACCTCCAGTTAAAATTGCTTTAATGGCAGGATGTGCATGTCGAGGACTGAGAATTGGAGGAAAAGTGATACAGGTCCCATTTGACAATGTAGACTGTAAATATTCTATGGTGCGTAGTATGAGACATTTTGTTTGGGCAGCAAGTGATGGAACTTGGACTACCCACTTATCTGTGGATGGTCCAGCTAAAGAAATCACCTTAGGATTACCAACTCTTTGTCCAATTTGGAAGAAGTCGCCATTCAAAGGCAGATTAGAAGCCCTGCAGATTCGAACAAAAAGAGATATAGGTGATAACAACAGTGATGATGAAGACACTTGGCAGGAGCCCTCCACAGGAGTTAAAATAGGATGGGCTTTTGAATCCCTATTTGCCCAAGTAGCAGCATATCGAAATAGAGAGATGATTGACAGCCTGATTGGCCAAACAAAAAGATTAGCCTGAATAACAAAGAAAGGATTCAAAGATTTAAATTTGCAATTACAGGCAACAACTAAAATGACTTTGCAGAACAGAATGGCATTAGACATGTTGTTACTTAAGGAACATGGTGTCTGTGGATATTTAAAGGACAGAGTAGATCATTGCTGTATTCACATTCCTAATGTGACTGCAGATATAGAACACGACATTTCCCAACTAAACAACATTGAACGAGAAATAGAAAAAGAAAATGCTGAACAAGATTGGCTAGGGACAATATTTAGCAGTCTGGGCCTTCACCTTACTGGATGGACTCGTTCCCTCATACAAACCGCAATTATAATATTAATTGTGTTTTTGATAACATATCCGATGTATTTTTGTATCCAAAGGGAAATAACTCGCAACAGTGCCTGGACTCATCGAATCATAGGAGCAGTAACTAGGGAACATCCAAAGTACCCCACACCTCCACCTACCTATCAGGAGACAGCTACCTAAGAGAATGAAAATACTTGCTTAAGTTAAATGAAGTATTTTCAAAGGGGGGAAATGTTAGAGAGGGTGAAGTTTTTACAATAAAATAATCATATAAAATAGTAAAATGATTATATTTTAGAAATTTATAAATCAATAGTGAGGCTTTGTATAGTAGAAGACGTTGTAACTTTTGTATCATAGTTACTCTGTAACTACATGATACAATGGTAGTCTTGGTAGCAAGAGCTAACATAACTGCATATGGTGAGGGGAGTATGGGTGTATGTATTGTAAAACTCTACCCAAGCAGAACCTAAGTTTAAGATAGCCAAAAAGGGCATACCAGAAGCATCCTGGTGAAGATAAGAGAATGCTAACGTCCACAAGACGATTGGGACCTGGCCAAGTAGAGGAAAGGTGAAAAGGACAACCTGAGGAAGACTTCTTACTTCATCTGAGGAAGACTCCTTACTTCATCAGGGCAACCACCAGAGGGGGCGGCGCAAGCGCAGAAGAGGCTGATGTCGTAATAGATTGATGTAGCAATCTTTGATGCATATGTATTAGTCAATGATGTAATCTGTGTTGAATATGTATTAGTTACGAAATTTTTAGTGTATAAATTGCAAACGCGATGTGACGGAAATCGGAACCAGATTTGAGTGCGTACCCCTGGTTCCCGGCGCCTCAATAAAGCACCTCATATAACCATCCTGGTGGTTATGTGTTTGTCTCGACGCTAACACAGTTACTGACACAGTGAATTTTAGTTAGCAGCCCTATTGCTTCACTGGTGTTACTGCTACATTATAAAGCTAGAAATACTTTTTATTTAACAGAGGTGAGTACCAGAGGCTGCAGCAGCTGAACAGTTAAGCTCTCTGACACAGATCAAAACATGTGGACCTGTATGCTGACTGACCCCTTTTAATACCTCTGGCTTTAATAAATACTTGGCAAAGGGGATCAATACAAAAGTTGCCCACAGTATCCTGCTAGGGAGACACAGTGGTGTCTCTTTACTATACTAAGGCTAATGTGTAACTAAAACTGAAGTACACCAGAGTGGTTCTTCATCTCAGCTCTGCATCCAAAAATGCCATTATGGGTATCATACAAACCTGATGCTTTAAGTGGCCAGCATTGCAGCTCAGGTGTACCTGAACACAGCAGCTGGGAATATATGTTAGTTGTGGGAAGTGACTGAAGTGGCCTCCACAAGGTTCCTGAGCTATGCACCAAAGCTGGAGCAATGATAAGAGGCTGGTACCTTTTTTTCTAGGTGCTTGATTCTGGATGGTTCCTAGTACTGGATGGAAAATGGGTCTCTGACTATTGTGCTATAATGGTAATCTAGCTGACAGTGAATGCACCAAAGTCTTGGGATTACAGTGTCAGGTTACAATTTCTGATTCCTGAAAATGGAAATTGGCAATGAGAGCATCTCTAAATGCAACAAAACTTGCACCTAGGTGGTAGAGAACCTTCTGTCTCGTTAACTCACCTTTTCAATTACCTCCTGCCAGCAAAAGCCTGAAATGGAGAAAGGCATATGAGAAATACGCAGCAAGCCTCTCAATAGTTTCTGGAGATGGACATCTAAAGAAGAGGAATAGATTTTCCTAGGTGAAAAACTACCCAGCTTTTTCGAGTTTGTTTATTAAGACTATGGAAACAAGGTGAAATACAAATGAGATTCAGCAGATGAAAAAAGTTTCCCTTTGAAATGTCCTTGAAAAAAAAAAAAATGAAACTCAAGAACTTATGTTCCTGTTTATTCCTGCAAAATGCTAAATTTGTCACAGTTTACACCTTCTGAAATGATCCTCATTAGAATATGTTGAAATATTAGAACATTTTCACTTGAAAGGCACTTACAATGGTAATCTAGTCCAACTGCCTGACCACTTCAAGGCTTACCAGAAGTTAAAGGCATGCCGTTACAGGCATTTTCAAAATGCCTCTGGGACAGACAGGCTTGGTGCCCACTGAAGCACTCTACCACTCCCTCTCCATCAACAGGACAGAGGGGAAAAATTATGAGGAAAAACTCATGGGTTAAGATAATGACAAGGACATTACTCACTGGCTACTGTCAAAACAGACTCAATTTGGGGGAACTAATTTAGTTTATTGACAATTAATTGTAAGAAAGAAGGATAGTGAGAAATAAGAACAAAACTAAAAACACCTTCCCCCCATCCCAATACCTCTTCTCAGGCTCAACTTTACTCCCAACACTTTTTCCACTTCCCCCTGGCTAGCACAAACTGATGGGGACTGTAGTCAGTCCATAACACTTTGTCTCTGCTGTTCCTTCCTCCTCACACTCTTCTGCTGTAGCATGGGGTCCCTCACATGAAATACTGTCTTTCAGTGACACTGTCCCATATGAGCTGCTCCAGTGTGGGTCCATTACAGGTTGCAGCTCTTCAGGAACAGACTGCTTCAGCCTGGGTTACCCATGGGCCACAGCTACTGGCAGAAAACATGCTCCATCATGAACTCTTTATGGACTGCAGCTTCCTTCAGGACACATTGACCTGTTCCATTACGGGATTCTCCATGAGTGGCAGCGTGGATATCTGCTCCACTGTAGTTAGTCCTCCATAGGCTGCTCTGGCACTTCATACCCCTCCGTCCTCATTGACTTTGATGTCTGCAGGGCTGTTTCTCTCACATATTCTCACTTCTTTCTCCCAGCTGTTGCACTGCATTTTTATCCTTTCTTAAATATCTTATCACAGAGGCCCTACCAGCATTTCAGATGGGCTCAGCTTCGGGCAGTGGCAGATCCATCTTCATGTAGCTGAAACTGACTTTATCTGATACAGGGGAAGCTTTTGTGTCTTCTCAGAGAAGCCACCCATGCAGCTCCCCATGACCAAAAACTTGCTTATGTAAACTCAACCCAGTGAGATACTCGGAATAATACCAGACACCCAGAAAAACAAGTAAAAGGAACAAATTGATATGCTGGCATCTAAAAACAAAGTAAAAATAAATTATGCAACAAGAAAGGCAAAGTTTGACCTATTAAATTTTGGAGCATTCCCAGAGGCTGAGACATGCATACTGCCAGCCTTTTGGTAGAAGTTATCCACTCTTAACGCAGAGTCCAAATGATAGGAAGGTAAAGGACTTAGAGTGACACAGGGGCAGATACAGAGATGGAGACACACAGACAGAGATAGGGGCAG